AGTATTTGCTGCTGTAAACGATCCATTTCTGTGGAATATTATGCCAAGATAGCAGTATTTATCGGTGTGCTGGATGGGCTGACCTCCCAATGTGAATGTTTCATAGGACTGCTTTCGTTTGGGAGGGCTGAATATTACAATCTTAGTTTTCTTAATATTTACTTCAAGGCCCATGGAGTTACAGAAATCAAATAGAATGTTGATATTGACTTGCAAGGCCTCGGGACTTAGAGCAAGAAGGACAAGATCGTCAGCCCACAGCAGATGTGATATCAGAACGTCAGCAAGAACTGGATAGTCACCAACAGATTTCAGGAGAGATGAAAAGTCATTAATGTAGATTTTAAAGAGGTCTGGTGATAGGGGGTGTCCTTGCTCCGTTCCTTTGCCAATATCAATTTTACCCATACAACTGCCAACTGCTATTGCTCTGTAATTGTCTGGGCTGAAGGGGTTGCCTGATTTATAGATAGGAGTGATAATACTGGTATGCCATGGATAGTAGCCTGAGACCAGAGAGTGGTTGAATGTTTTGAGGATGACTTGGAAACAAAGCGGAGTTAGGCTCTGAAGCATCTCGTTTGAAATCAAGTCATTTGAGCAACTTTTAGCAACTTCAAGTCATTTGAGCAACTTTTTGTATATGGACTTTCGAAAAGATGGAACTATGTGTGTAGGACTACACCTGAGATAGCAGATAGACTTCAACCACTCGAACTTACCATCAGAGAGGAGTTCATTCCAGCAATCCTTGATAGAGCATTTAGTTGCACTGACACTCTTAGAGAGATCTTTTCTCTACCACCAAGGTATGGAGGGCTGGGTATACCTATAATAACAGAACTGGCCAACTCAGAGTTCCTGTATTCAGTCAAAGCTACAGTTTTGCTTAAAACGGCTATTCTAAGCCAAGAGGTAAACTATCTTGAAGACAAGGATAAAAGCCATGAAATCAAGACATCCATCAGTAAAGATCGCAATGAGTATTACACCAGAAGACAGGAGGCAATTCAGGAGTCTCTGCCACAAACATCTAAACTTATGTTACAGCTAGCAGCAGAGAAGGGTGCAAGTTCCTGGCTAACCACCTTACCACTCAAAAGCTATGGTTATCTCCTGAATAAGCAACAGTTTTCAGATGCTATAGCTTTAAGATATAACCTGAAGCTGAAAGATTGTCCAAAACTTTGTACTTGTGGTGATTCCTACTCCGCAAACCATGCCCTCACGTGTAAACTTGGGGGTTATGTGACCTTGAGGCATAACTCACTTCGAGATACAATAGCTAATATCATGCGGACAGTCAAATGCAAAGACGTTCAGACAGAGCCCCCTCTTCTTCCAGTCAGCGGCATGCAGTTACCACAAGGTACAGTAACTGGAGATCAAGCCCGACTAGATATATCAGCAAGATCAGTTTGGAATGCGTTGGAAAGAGCATTTTTTGATGTAAGGGTGTTTCACGCTCCTGCTCCAACCAACGCCGCTAAACCAATTCCTATGATGTATTTGGCTCACGAGACTGAGAAGAAAAGAGCATATAATGCAAGGGTCCTAGAAGTGGAAAAAGCTACCTTTACACCTTTAGTTTTCTCCACAACAGGATGCATGGGAGTCGAAGCGCAACGCTTGATTAAAAAGCTTGCACAAAAGATGGAATCTCCAACAGGTCAGCGTTATTCAGACTCAGTTACATATCTTAGAAAGCGCTTGCGCTTTGAGGTATGAAAGACAACGGTTATTTCGATAAGGGGGGACAGAGGGCCCAAGTTGCGATATAAACCAGACAATATTGAAGATTTAGATTTAAATATTGAGCCCTTTGGCTAGAGAATACTTTCTTGAATATTTTCGATAGTTTTTAATATTGGTAATGTTAATGAATTGTAATTGATTGATATGTAATATTTAGGCCCGTGGCCAGTTTTCTTTAAATTTAAAAAAAAAAAAAATTTGTTAATATGAGTATTCAACACTACTCGACAACAAATATTTGCCGGCCCATCGACGATTCAGTCGCCGAAACAAAAATCAAATGTTTGCTTTTTCGTTTCGGGAACTGTTTGAACTCAGTACTATATCCGACTAATCATACTTTATAATGGTTAAAAAACAAAGTAAAAAGATTTTCCTCGATGGGCCGGCAATATATATAATATAACTATTGTGAATTCAAAAAAGGAGGCATATATGCGTGGTAATTCTCTTTTAGCTAGTTTATATTCCTACATGCGAGCAAACAAACTCCATGTCAACTTGTCTAAATGCTGTTTCATTCACTTTAAACCAGCATCGTCCTCCCAGACTGACAATAATTCTGAATATACTCTAACCATTGATAACTTTCCAATAAAACAAGTTGCATCTGCTAAGTTTCTGGGAGTCGTCATCGATGAAAAGCTAACCTGGGAAGAACATATAAAATCACTTAGGCGTTCTCTCAGCCATGCAACATCAACTCTCTGCCGCCTACGCTGCTCCCTCCCAGATTTCTTACACCGCCAGTTGTATTACACTCTATTTGAATCACACCTCTCCTATTGTATCACGGTTTGGGGTGGGGCAGCCAAAACTCGTATAAGTTCTGTATTCAAAGCACAAAAATATTGTCTCAGGGTACTGTTTGGCGACAGGGAGGCATACCTAGATAAATTTAAGACCTGTGCTCGTGCTCGACCATTTGGCAACCAAAATCTGAACAAAAAATTTTTCTTGAAAGAGCACACGAAACCTTTGTTCAAGGAATACGGAATACTTGCCGTCCAAAACCTGTACACTTACCATTGTTTCCTTGAGCTCTATAAAATCATGAAATTCCGTGCTCCGATTTCCCTCCATGAAAATTTCACCTGCTCAAGTAGGAAACCCACCCTTATACTAAGCCAAGCAGACCCCCCTGACAACTTCAATAGCAGAACGACTCGTATTTGGAACGTAATTGTGCCTAAGCTTGGTATACGTGACTACTGTCTAAGTGTGGCCTGCCTGAAGTCTAGGATGAAGCAATCACTGCTCGTCAACCAGCATAACCATGCTGATCTTGATTGGACAAACAAAGATTTCGAATGCTCTAATCTAAATTTTGACATTAAGTCTACCCTAGGGTCCACACATCCAAAATGATTATCTTGAAATTGAAAATTAGCTGGGTGTGCATTTTCCTTTGTCTTACTAACGTGTGTGAGCGCAGTGTAGTGAGAAAGTGTTTTAAACAGATTTATTATTAGACTTAGGATTATGATTTTTAATATATTACATTGATATAAGATTTGTTTTTGATAGGTACTTAATAAAGTTGATGAATTTCCCTCCCTATTAAAATTTTAAACCCATTTAGTGAAAATTGATAAACGAAGATCTAGATATTGATACATATTATAACCAACATTGCTTATATTCTGCCTTGTAAACAAAGAGCAAATCTTCTTAATGCCTTCTTCCTGTCCTAAAACTAAAACTTCATCCTATTAAAGTAAAGGCCAGTTGTTACCACAAGCTATTATACCGTCCCTCTCAAAAACATGCCTCAGCCTCCATCAAAAACAATTTTAGTTTTCAGTCCTTCTAGTTTCCAAAAATCTACCGAGCTAGTGTTCTGGTGTGCACAAAAGCCCCTAAGCCCGTGCATTCCTTGCCCCCGCTAGCTGCCAGTCCTTGACAAACTTCCAATAGCAAAGATCAACTAGTCATTTACAAATTGAGCACTATACAATTTTAATTGTTTTAAATATTTGACTTTGTAAAATGAGCTAAAACATTGATTTATTAGTTTCATTGATTTATTAGTTTCATTGAATAAAATAATTATCACTTTTGTATCCTTGTATCCTTGTATCCTAAGTGTTTACCTGGCACGCTACTCCACATGATTCGACGATATTTTGATCATTATGATAAATAGCTTGTCCGCGTCACTGATCACAAGGCTAACATTATTGAAATCCAATTGCAAACAACCACACGTAACAAGTTCTAAGTCTCTTTTGCAGCTCCCCACCGACGATGCAGTTTGTTGCTAATATATGAAAACAGAAGCCATCAGATTCTAATACACAAGTCTCCAAAATTTGGAAATGGTGCTGATACCCCAGTTTCTTGAACAAGAACCCATTATTAAATTAAGAAACGATTCTTAAAGAGCTCAAGCACTTTCATTTCAATAAAGACTTTTAAATTTGGCTATATCCTTTTATTACCGGTCATCATGAAGCTTTTCAATAAACAAGATCTGAAAATGTATTGGATCGGTGATGTTTAATTGACGTTAAGAGCGCAATAGATACCGTCTGTAGTTACGATTAAACCAGGACCACATACTGCTCTAAACTACATACCATCTAGCTATGACATGGAGAGAGAGAGAGGGTGTGTGCCATCAAAGGGGGATGGGGGCCTTTAAGCTTTTGGAGGCACCAAAATAAAGATTCAACCTTTTTGGGGTATTAGGTAACATTTTAATCACACAGCGGGGCCCTTCGTTGCACCACTGGACTGGCTTTTTGTACTCTTCCACACCCTATTCACTATTGTCGTAAACTTGAAAACTGTCCCCATCAATATTTTATTCTTTTCTCCAGTGGTGAAAAGTCATATTTCAGCTCTTTCCTACCATGCCATGCCTCTGCATTGTCCTAATATAGTTAATTTAATAATTAAAACATGATATATTGTACAAGAATTTGGCTTTGTTCAAGCCTTAGCATGAATCGAAAGTGTTTTGATCAGTATACACTCAGTTCGTTATGTATAAAGACGGTCAACTTTGGCGAAGGTTTCAGCATCTTTAATTTTGACCATTTTAAAGGCTTCACCATCTTTAATTCATCGCAACCCGTCTTTAAATTTGCTGGTAGACGTATGGTCAGTGTGTGAAATGTGCTTTATTACATCCGATCTATTTTGAGACCTGTTGTGGTGTCTTTAATTTTTCAATTTTGCATATTTGCTGTCTTTAATTTTTTTCATTTGAAGGCTTTGTCTTTGTAAAGCGCGTCTTTATAAAACAAACTGAGTGTATTATTTACAACTTTACGGTAGATGACTCTATTATAACCAATTCTATTCAATAATTTTGTTTTTCATAATATTATTATGCATGCTACTTTTAAGTATTTTAGGGTATGGACTACACATTTTAAACACAAAGAGTTGCTATAATGGAATATAGAGGTCTCATGGTAACATAGCTTTGAATCTGGTGGCTCAAACTAATATCTGGATCAGAGGAAGATATGAGCTATGATACATTGGAGCTAGTTTGTTATGTCTCCTACCGACTCTTTTTACCAGCAGTGCTGGTTGTTGCAGCCTGCATCAGGATCTCAATCGTTTCTTTGGTGTGGCTCATGTTCTTTTTGGTTGTCCCATGTTTACCAAAGTTTTCTTTTCGCAACTGGTTAAGTAAGTTCGATTAAAAACCTTGTCATTTTCAGTATATTAAACGTTTTAAATGTTATGTCTCAGTAAGTACTTTTGAATGGTAAACACTCAAGTAGTCATATTTTAATGTGCTATTCTAAAGAAAAAAATAATTGTATGACATCAATTTCAGCACACAAAAGTCTGCGAGTGTACATAATCTTGCTGCTGATAATAAGCACTTTGGCGTGTTGTGGACATGTTGTCTTTTGGGCTTTACAGTTGAGCCACAAACTGGACTTCTCTGCAACTACTCTTTGTGAGTTTAATTAATTATTTCCTCTTAAGACTAGCTAGGTCCTCAATATAATAGCTTTGAAGTTTATAGAACTTACTGTTTTTATTTAAACATTTCTAAATTATCTAACATCGGACACTATTCAAATATCATCTTTTCGCTTTGGCTCACATGGAATAATAATAATGATTAACATTTTCGAAATAAAATTTCTGGTCATTTAAATTGTATGAAACTCTTGTAGTATTTCTTCTCCGGCTATTATCACTTCCTGGTTTACAATTTATTTCAGGTAATTCTACAAACATCTTGTTAATGAACATCGGATACGAATCGTAAGCATACAATTACTTATTAACTATTAACTTAATAACTGTTCAATTCAAATTTCGTAAACTGGAAATAGTTAGTAATGAAATTGTGTAATAACTTTATATGCAGCACAATAGTGTCTATAATTTCTAATCCCCAGGCTAAGTGCAGACGTAGTGCCGAATGTGTTGGACAGAGTAAGGTTGATAATGCCTGATTTTGTTGTGTTTGTAGTGGCGGTTGTCACCACGATACTCTGTTTCAACTCACCCGCAGCTTCCCCCGATCATGTTGGCAAAGGAGTGTAAGTATTGTGTTCTTTAGTATTCTTTATATTGTCAGGCACTTTTTAAATCAATGAGTTTAATAAACTCATTAATTTAAAAAGTCAGTTTATATCATATCAAAATTGAGAAATTGTACTGAATTTCCACACGTTCCAAAGTGTTCATTACTTTTGTTTCAGGACGATGACCCGGTTCTGGAGGACAATAGAACCGTTTGTGACGTCACTGTGTCTGTTTCTAGCGGGAGCAGCAGCTCCCTCGCTAGTTAGTGGGGTCTACTTCTTTACCTTCATGATAGTGTCCACTCTTTGGGCTGTTGGTATGTTTCTTTTAACACATTATTAATTGGTTTTTGTATTTATAATCTCCTACTGATAAAAACTTTTAGATATAACCGATCATCGCTAAGACTAATTATGACGACACAAATCACGACATGACAATTGTGTTACCTTCAGGTATAAAGTTCGGTAAACTGCCGCACGTAAAGCTATTCCTACTGGTCCTATGTGGAGTGCAGATAGTTACACTTTATATCTACCAGTTTAAAGAGGTCCACACTCATCTTCCTCCTGACAGCTTGACCGCCAGGTATTATTTGTAATTACTTTGTAACACACTTTTAATAGCCTGGACGATGTGTAACGAGGCTTGAAACAAGACAAATGGTATTTTCCCAGACAATATCTTGCTAACTCGCTTGCTCAAGTTATATGGTAGCTCCCAGCAGCCTCAACATCACGATCAATCTAATTTCACCCGCCTTGTGATATATTCCAAATATTGTAAATTAAAAGCCCGCGGATATTCCCCAGAGGATTTAACTAACTTTGAATTAAAACATTGACTTATATATTAATTATGTCTTCGGAATCGTTGACATATTACGTAATCCAGCCTAGAAGGGGAGGTGTAATGTAATTTCTACACAACAGCTGTGTGTAAAGTGGTTTACGTAGGGGGAGGGGTCTAAAACGGCCAAAATGGCTTACGTAACCTGAGAAAGATCCCAATTTAAAACCCTACTTTACACAGGTTGCTAGGATACGTGCAGTACTACACTAGGACCTGTAAGGTAGAAGGAAGCACCATAACAGCAAACCCTCTGCACCTCCAGTTCACTGACAAGCTCCAGATTGGGGATTACGCGTTTATCGTGTGTCTGACGGCCCTGTACTTCTCTCTGGGTCTCTCTGCTAGATACATGGCTAAGGTAGGTGTCACGTGAGGGGTCATGTGATTGTGTTTAATGTTTATGTGCTGTTTTTATGTAGCTAGCAGTGATCTCCTGGGCAAAAGGAAGAGCTATTAGAAATTGAACGATAAGAATCCAGTGCTAAAACATTTTTTATTCGTTGTGCTGTTTGAAGCGCCTCTAGTCAAAAAAGTGGACAGCTAAGTTTCATGAAACATTCTTCGTATTCTTAACAGCACACTTCTTGAAAATCTGTGTTGAATTATATTGGCCTTATCACTTATCAGAGAGTTAAGTCCCAATGGGTACCAACCCACAGAGGGTTCTCAATCAACCACTCGGACGAGTGGGACCACGTACTTGTAAGTGAAGTTTTAGTGAAGTTTTAGAGCCGCTCTTCTACCTATTAGTTTTTCTACCTTCAGTTTCTACCTTCTATCTTCATTCTTCAGTTTGTACCTTCAGTTTGTACCTGTAGTTTGTACCTTCAGTTTGTACCTTCAGTTTGTACCTTCAGTTTGTACCTTCAATTTTTACCTTTAGTTTGTACCTTCAGTTTGTACCTTCAGTTTGTACCTTTAGTTTGTACCTTCAGTTTGTACCTTCAGTTTGTACCTTCAGTTTGTACCTTCAGTTTGTACCTTCAATTTGTACCTTCAGTTTGTACCTTCAGTTTGTACCTTCAGTTTGTACCTTCAGTTTGTGCCTTCAGTTTGTACCTTCAGTTTGTGCCTTCAGTTTGTACCTTCAGTTTGTACCTTCAGTTTGTACCTTCAGTTTGTACCTTCAGTTTGTACCTTCAGTTTGTACCTTCAGTTTGTATCTTCAGTTTGTACCTTCAGTTTGTACCTTCAGTTTGTACCTTCAGTTTGTACCTTCAGTTATACCTTCAGTTTGTACCTTCAGTTTGTACCTTCAGTTTGTACCTTCAGTTTGTACCTTCAGTTTGTACCTTCAGTTTGTACCTTCAGTTTGTACCTTCAGTTTGTACCTTCAGTTTGTGCCTTCAGTTTGTACCTTCAGTTTGTGCCTTCAGTTTGTACCTTCAGTTTGTACCTTCAGTTTGTACCTTCAGTTTGTACCTTCAGTTTGTACCTTCAGTTTGTACCTTCAGTTTGTATCTTCAGTTTGTACCTTCAGTTTGTACCTTCAGTTTGTACCTTCAGTTTGTACCTTCAGTTATACCTTCAGTTTGTACCTTCAGTTTGTACCTTCAGTTTGTACCTTCAGTTTGTACCTTCAGTTTGTACCTTCAGTTTGTACCTTCAGTTTGTACCTTCAATTCGTGCCTTCAGTTTGTACCTGCCTACAAATCACTAAACACAATGTACCCCTAATTAAAACCAACTGTGTAATGTGTTATTGTTTCCTTAACAACTGTGGAATGTAAAACTGTGGAATGTAAAAACACGTACACAATACGCATGGCATAGAACAAACGACATTAACATTCCTGGCCGCTCAAAAGTCAGTTGCTCCCTTACTTTCATGTCTAAAATAAAGAAGCTCTTGTATAAATGTACAATGTCTATACAAGAGTATTTCCCGCTTTGTACACACACCACTATATATTTAATGTAGTGCATAATATATACTACACAGTACATTATATTATATACACAGTACAAGGTAAAGGTGCGACATTGTACACAGTGTCCTTGCACTTAAGACACAAAAATGTACACAAGTGTTTTGCTTGTAGTACAATACAGGCAGCAGCTAGCATCAACTTATAATAACGCTTGAGGGCGTGGTTGAAAGGCCGTTTTTTAAAAGTTTAATTTTCAATGATGCCCTCTTTTAGGATGTAAATGTAAAAAACATAACAGAAAATACTGACTGTAGTAGTGTAGTACACTGTAGCTCGTACTGGTATGTATCATGACACAGTCTCACATCTCGTCTTAACACTTAACTACTAATCTTCTTTATGCCTCATGGAACATGCGACATTTAACACACTAATATTAAGAAATCAACATTGTCACGGAGTTTTATATTAACAGGAAACGATGTAACAGAGTCAATATATCTTAATGTTGCCATGGGCCGGGGATTGGGGTGGCAAGTCCCCATACATCGAAGTCCAATAGTTTCACTGCGTCATAATATATGGACATCTCACTGTGGTAACTTACACTTCTCACATCTTGCTTTTGTAAGATACTTGGCGTAATATTACACTGTAATCTGATATGGTGCTCAATCTTTGGAACTGTAAAAGCTGCAGATATGAAAACTGTATTTATGCTATATATGTGAAAAATCAGTTTGTCAGTAATTAAATATGCGTAATGAACTCAATAGTGTGTTCTTTATATCTGAGGTTTATATAATACAGTATTTTAGCTCGCAGCTGAGAATGAGTACAGCTGTGTGCCATGTTCACCTCTGACTTCCACTCTCGTTGTAATATCAGTGATAACGTTTTATGAAATATGAATAAGGTTTTTTTAAAGTGGAGCTTTACAGTCTATAATATTAGTTATATTAATCGATAGTTATAATTAGCAATAATTAGCAATAATTAGCAATAAAGTTGCCCACCTAGTACTCCGTGAAACATGGTGGTAATATACACGTGTCATTACTTATGACTCATTAGGCACGGGTAATTATTTTGACAATATCTATATATTAGCATCTAAACGATACTGACTAGGAATATAAGTTACCCACTATCTGAAACGAGGTGGTAAATAAGACCCAGGGAGGTAATGAACCTTGTCACTATTATACCCAGGGAGGCAGTACTGAATACACTAGCAAGTAGACCCCGGCCCCCTAACTACCTCCCGGCCCCCTAACTACCTCCCGGCCCCCTGACTACCTCCCGGCCCCCTAACTACCTCCCGGCCCCCTAACAACCCCCGGCGCGGCCCCCTTACTACCCCCTAACCCCCCCCCCCCACCCCCCGGCCCCATAACTTAAACTCCCCCCGGCCTCCTAACTACCATGTAGACGATGTAGTGCTCACACAGCAACAATGTGTACACCTGTGTTACATGAGCTACCACACTGTGGTCTACACTCTACAGTGTACGTTACATGCGGGGACTGGCATACAGAGAATATATCCTGTTGTATAAGAGACAATAGAGCATGTTGTGTGGTCCAGTGTTCGGTTAACTGGAACTTTGGAGGAATCTCGGAGATTATATCCTAGATATGCGATCAAAGGAATTAGGAACTTAGTTGAACAAGCTGTGTAATATAGCTTTCATAATGTGTAGCTGATGTTAAATTATCAAGGGATTTAAGGGTGGCAGAGTAAAAGTAAAAATGTGACATGTTCAATAATAGCAATTGTTGGGATTTTTCACGTTGAAACATAGATTTTCCTAGATTTTGTTGATTTTACTGTCAGTAAGTTTTAAATTAGGGTGAGTTCAAATATTTATAGATCTATAATGCACATTATCAACATTTCTAATTGTTGTTGGTATATGAACGTCTGAAAGCAGTGAATGAATTGCGCAGGGTTCTGCGGCGCGGGTAGGTCTGAAAGCGCTAAAGGAGAACACGCGGCGCAGTATAAAGCGCATGGTTAGTGTGAGTCAGCATGGTGAAGGTGGAGTTGACATTACCGGGGAGCAAGAACCTGGCAGATCTTCAGATATCTCAGAAAATACAAGATCTGGGGATGAAATGGTGGTGAGAAAAAAACCAATCAGTCAATAATTGTAGGGATTGGGATTTGGATACATGTTTAAATAGTTACATGGGATGTTACAGTGTTGTGTGCTGCGTGCTTAGTGCACATCACATACTATAGTGCATAATGCACCGTGCATACCATCAGCATGTTGTCTGCCACTCTATGTAATTAAATATTAATTTACATGTCCACCACTAGCTTTACTTTTAGACTTAAATAATTATAGCCATTATCTGGGAAAGTTAAATTTACAAATATTTTAGCTAGGGTTAAAGTTAGCAAAGTTTTTAAAGTGTTTGCCTTATGACGTAAAGGTTTATAAATCTCGGATTGTTTTTAGTTTTATTAATTAACATAACTAAGTCTTTATGGCTGCCATATTTTACATCATGTATGCTGTTTGTTTTGTTAAGTCAGCATGCGGATTGCAGTGCATTCTCTTTGGCTTCAAGGGTTAAAAATTATTTTGAATCCTTAAGTTCAAATTCAGTTCAAAACTTTATCAAGGCTTGTTAAATTTTGAATACTGTACTGTAATAAATTTTAAACTCTGTTAAAGCAACATCAACCAAAGCCCTCATCAATTAATAGCATAATGAGACACCACTTAGTCCTAAAATGTCTGGTTGCTGGTAAAAAAAGCAAAAAGTACAGGAATCATTTTGTTTTCGAAAGATACATCAATTAATTTCGGAATAGTTTCAAAACCAGTTCACTTGTCGCTGTTAAATCCCTACGGAAATCCATTAACACTAACAGTAGTTTTTTATAAACCAAAGTACAAACCAAAATTATATTCTTTACACGTTCTAAAATGAATTTGTTCAGCCTGTAAATTGGAAACGTTGTCCCACATATCTGTATAATGCATAGTGCATTTCTAACTGCTTGATAACTTCGTCATTTCAAATCCGTTTGGCCATAATTTTACAAACTCATGCAGCATAATTATCTTCAGTAAATCTGAAATAAATGGCGTCTAGCAGTCCCGAAAGAAACATATCGGTTATTTAATTATTTATGGGCTGTCTGAAGCTATTATTCGAATTCTTAAACATTGGAGACGGATTCCCCGAATGAATAGTTACAGGATGCCACTGCAAAGTTACAGTCCATAATATGAAACACGGTGGTGGTAAAAAAACCCAGAGCGTAATAACTAACTATTTGAAGCCCACCTTTAGCTTTTCGGTTAGGGCCGTGGCCTCTGAAGGCATAGGGTGGAGGTCACGAAACTGGTGTTTATGATGTTTGGAAGGGCAGTTCCCATTTTAATACTAAATCCTTAGCCACCTACCCCGAACATAAATCGCATACGGGTAAAGATTTTCAATTTGATCTAACCTGGATTTCACTATTTGATGCGTGGCCCCTGGGGGTAGGAAGTGCCTGATGTTGAGAGGTCGAAAACTTTTTTTATATGGTTTGGGATAGGCATACCCATTTTTATACTCAAAACATGACTACCTACCCCGAAAATAAATCGCATACGGTAAATATGTCAATCTTATTTTTACCATACACACACTTGAGATTGGAGTGGTTGCGGTGCCCATGGGGTGTGCCTATTGGAAAGTCCGAAACTTAGTTTTTTAAAAGTGTTTATAGCAAAACCATTTGGTATAATAAAAACATACTCATACCAAAACATAATTAGCATTCGTAAAGATTCTCAAAGTCTGCTTGTTGGATTATTACATGATTCCATTTAAGTTTGAGGATACTAAGGCCCCTGAGATTGCCTATGGTTGAGAGTCAAAACTTGGTTTAGTTTATTTGGTTTGATAGCCAAACCCATTTTTTTATAATTAAATTTCCCCTAACCCAAAATAAATCCATACGTTTAAAGAGTTTCATCCTTATTTTACCTATCAGCTATTTTAATGGCGTCCTCATGCCTGGAGAGTAAGAATCGAAATCTTTGTTGTATGATGGACACACACACTTGCAAACACTTGTTTAACTAAAAAACATCCACATACACCGAAAAATAATGACAGAGATAGCGTGGTAGAAGGTTTTCAAACTTTTTGGTACTGGATTTTTCACTATTTTAGAAGCGGGCCCCTGAGGCCTATGGTTGTGAAGGTCATGCGAAACAACTTGTTTTATATGATGTTTTGTAAGAACCCATTTTTAACTAAACATGGGCCGCCTACCCCGGAACATAAATCGCATAACGGGTAAAAGATTCTTCAGTCTGGATTTGTATGGGATTTGACCGTCACACACACACACACACACACACATGTGGTTAGCGATGGCCCTTGGATGACAGAGTGGTTTTGAGGTCGAACTTGGTTTTTATGATGTTTGGGACTGTGGCATTTTTTTACCAATTATACCATGTGCTACAACCCCGTAACATGTGCCAGATAGGCAGGTTATGAGTGATTTGTGACTTGATTTATAACATTCTGGGTTTGTTTCAAATATGTGGTGCCAATGTCGTTTGTAGAAGGGTTTACTGATTATCATATCTTACTATCTCTAAAATACGAGCAGTTGAGGAACTTTTCGAAAATCTTATCCTCGTAAATTCTTCAAAATATAATTAGTGGAGGTTAAGAAGAGCAGTGGCGGGAGGGGTGGTCCGAGTACAAGAATATAAAATCTTAGGACTACGTAAATCTTAGAATTTATATGTAAGTAAGAACTACGGTCGAAACTATTCGATGACCACTGTAAAGAATAGTATACGTTAACAATTACTAATTTTTTGTTGAAATCGAGATATAACAATTCAACAGTTTTTTATATGGTTTTGGTGGGGTTTGGTTTGTAGAGTTATTAACATGGTTCACCGGGGTATTTAAAAGAAAGGGTGGTTATGTTGAGGGCTAGCAGTGAGGTTATGATGTTTATTATTTGTTTAATATATATAGACGTGAGAAGAGTGAGTGAGAAGATAAAAAGATGTTAAATATTGTGTTATTTATTTGTATTTATTGTGTTAATAGTTTAGAAGTTGGTTTTGTTTTGTTTTATATGTTATAAGGTATAGAATAGTAATATGAAAAGTATTAATTAAAATTTTGGTTTTGGATTATATTGAGGTAAAAAGTGTGTTGGGGAAGTTTGTATATGTTAGATAGTTTTTTTTTAGAGGGAAATTTAATGATGTTTTTAATTGGATAAAAATATTTATAAAGTGAATAAATAATAAAATTAAATTATGTTAGTTATAATTATTTTAAAATTAATTTAAAATTTTGAGGTTATAAAAAATTAAGGTTTGGAATTGGAAATGGTTTTGTTAATGGTTTAAAAGCTAAAAAAAATATGTAAAAAACAAATGTTTAACGATCATTCAATCACAACGCAACCACCAACGAGCCCATCCTAGCAATAGCTGAAATCCAGTAAAATCAAGAGATTTAAAATCTTTCACCACTATGCATTTATTTCCGGTAGTCCCATGTTTTAGTATAAAAAGGTTCTCTGCCTATCCCACACCTATCATAAAAACCAAGTTTCACCTCTTAACCCTCTCACCAGCGGAGACCCGATGGGGAGGTGATGGGCGCGGTGGGGACGGGGTTCTCAATCCTAAAATTCTAAACACAGTAAAAGAAAGATGAAATTCTTAACGGGTTTGGGTGTTGCCTTGGCGGGGTAGATTGTGGCGGTGGAGTGATAGAGCGTTCACACACACGGGGTATGGCAGTGTCATGTTATGTTAGTATAGGTTGGGAGTGAGGTATGTGTGTGGGGTTTGCTCTGGGCTCGTGGAGGGGTGCTGTGGGTGGGACAGAACCTCATATTACAAAGTTTTAGACCTCTCAAAGGACAACCACTCAGCCACTATCAGTGCCATGCCCATCCCCAAAATAAACGAAACCAGGTCAAATCCCATACAAATGCAGCCTGAGAATCTTTTACCCCCGTAAGCGATTTAAGTTTCCTGTATGTGCCCATCACACACACACACACACAAAAAGATGTTCTGCCTAGCACCTAACTCATCATAAAAACTACGTTGCGCGATACATCAGGGGGGGGGGGGGGGATAGGGCGCGAGGCGTCGAGGGGGGGGGGGGGGGGGGGCGGGGGCGGATAGAAAAGGGAATAACATTAAATATTTTTGAGTTTACAGGGTTTTGATTGGTATGAGGTAAAAAGAAGTGTGGTTGGTTGAAACACACATTGAGATGGGGGTGTGGTTTTTTTTGGTAGGGAAGTGAATTAAGGGAGGGTCTCAGAGATAGAGAGCATAATAGGAGGTGATTTTAAGTTAGTTTTGTGTAGTTTTTTATTTCTTTTTTGGAGATTAATATATGTAAAGAAAATGGAATAAAATGAAATTTTGTAGTTTGAATGTTTGATTTGGGGTATTGAGGTTAAAAAAGTTGGAGTGGGTGGGAAGGTGGAGATTGGTGTGGTTTTGGGGGTAATGAAGGAATTTTAATATGTTTTAATTGTTGGAGTAAGAAATTAAATAGATAATAGGAATTGGAAAGAAGTTAAATTTTTAGTATTGGGAGGATTTTGGGTAGGGGTATGTAGTGGGGGGGGTAATATTAATTAAGGGGGATCTTATGTTGGTAATGTTAGGGGAAGTGGGATGAAGGGTTAGTGATGGGAGGGGTGGAAGAGAATTGGGTTGGTTTTAGTTTTTTGATTAATAAAATTTTCTTGTTGTTTTTTAAGTGTTGGAATGGAGGGGGGGGGGGGGGTTTTTCTGGAGGAAGTATGATGTAGAAATGTGGTGGGGATGGTAGGGGTTTTGTTGGGAGATGAAAGTTTGGGGTTTTTTGGGAATTTATGGGTTGGGTAGTTGGTTGATGAGGGGTGTGTGGTGTTTTGGGTGGGGTGTGGGTGGTTATAAGGTGGGGGAAAGGGATTGGTTAGGGGATAAGTTGATAAGTTATGTATTGAATGTAAGTGATAAGTTGTTGTTTAGAGGTGAATTGTTAAAGTGAGAAATGAGTTTTAATAAAGTAAATTATGTTTGAGATTGTAAGTTTTGTGGGAGTGAGGTGGGTAAAGGTGGGAA